CTCCACCATAAAGACTCCCGTGACCCCTCAGAACGCTCACCGGTTGGAGACGATCCCGGGGTAGTAGCTCTTTTGGTTTTCGTCCACCTTGGTGTCGCTGAATTGGATGAAGCTGGTTTGCCTCCCATAAGCTCGGATGATACTGGCCCCCGTGACGGTCTCCGAGAAATGGGAATATATGGGGGACCTGCTGACCGACTCCAGACGCTTCAATTGTCGGGAAGTGGCTACATAGAACCTCTGTGAAGGAGGAAGAGTTCATATGACTCGGGAAATACACGGATGACGTCATACGAGAAGAGCTCCGAAATGTCAAATTATTGCTACAATGACACACTGACACTTGGGGCCCCAGAACAATGACACACTGACACTTGGGGGCCAGAACAATGACACACTGACACTTGGGGGCCCCAGAACAATGACACACTGACACTTGGGGGCCCCAGAACAATGACACTTGGGGGCCCCAGAACAATGACACAGTGACACTTGGGGGCCCCATAGTATGATCTGTATCTCCTCTCACTCACCTGTACAAAGCAGTAGATGAACGCGAGCGGTATGATGACGACGGCGAATAGCGGCGTGCTGGCCACGATGACGATCATGGTTGACACAGACGTGAAGAATGTCGCCAGGAACATGAGGATGGTCGGCGGGATGACCTCATCGATCACATATATGTCTTTGGAGAAGCGGTTGATGATGCGTCCGATCGGCGTGGTATCGTAGAAGGACTGCGGCGTGTGCATCTTATTGTCCAGGAGAACTTCGTGCAGCTTTCGGGCAGCGCCGATACCGGCCATGGCCAGCGTGAAGGAGGACGCCATTACCAGCACGCCTGCGGGAGGGATCACAGATCAGAGGGGAGGGGCCATCACGCGGATCAATCAATACCGATCATAACCAATATCTCACCTTGCAGCAACCCCAGCGCGGCGTAAACGCCAACTCGCATCTGCGTGTTCTCCTGCGTCCCGTTGATTATGGGCTCGCTGGTCCAGTCGCTCAGCCACACGTTGGCGCCGATGGCGGACGCGTTCTGGCAGCAGTACAGGAAGCAGATGAACAGCGCGACCGGGACGCCGACCGCCTTGATGTATTGCCAGAAAACCGTCATTTTCACCTGAAGCCGAAACCAAGAAACCCGAATCAAATCCATGAAATGAAAGACCATCGAGGCCGCTTTCCACCGCACGCTACTCAGCGCGACGCGGAACGCTACTACATTGTCCCAGTCTGCTCTACAACACTCATCTGGCAGTGGAACGCTCCGGGAACGGCACTGGTGATGGTTATTCTTTCTTATCGCATGTTAACGTTTATCATAACCCCCATCATTGCACTGACATGTGAACACTGACATGTGAGCACTGACATGTGAGCACTGACATGTGATCACTGACATGTGAACACTGACATGTGAGCACTGACATGGAACACTGACATGTGAACACTGACATGGAACACTGACATGGAACACTGACATGTGAGCACTGACATGTGAGCACTGACATGTGAACACTGACATGTGAGCACTGACATGGAACACTGACATGTGAACACTGACATGTGAACACTGACATGTGAACACTGACATGTGAGCACTGACATGGAACACTGACATGTGAACACTGACATGTGAACACTGACATGTGAGCACTGACATGGAACACTGACATGTGAACACTGACATGTGAGCAGTGACATGTGA